CTCTTTGTAGAGTTGTGGCTAGAATTTTAAAATATATGTTTTTTTTTTTTCTTATTTAAAGGTAATAGGTGCACAATTAAAAAGATAAAAGAAAACATACAATGGAGAAAATGAAAGTAAGTTCCCATTTTACCTACTAAATGCCACCATCCAGTGTGCCCATTGTTAACTGAATATAGATATAAAATGCAATCCCATTTCAGGTGTTTTCCCAATGAAATACTTTTCGGTTTTTGTTCCTAATGTGAATGGAATCTTCTTCTCTGTTGTATTTTCTAACTGGTTTTGACTGGTAAATATTAAAAAGCTGTAAATGATGATGATTTAGCCACTTTCCTATACAAGTCACTTCTTTTTCACTTTGATTTTGTCATCTGGAACTTTTGGAAAAATGTTGACTACTGCTGGTAATAGCTGGCAGCTTATCCTTTTCCTGACTTGACCTGAATGACACTGTCTTCATCTCTTTGCCCCATACTTCTCCAGGAAAACTGCCAACACTTGTGGCCTACCTCAGTGCAGCCTGAAACTTCAAAATAAACTTAAAACTGTAGTAAAACAGTGGTAACTAACAAACACGAATTTTTCCAAGTGTACTTTGGAACTTAAGTGATGATCATATATGGTTTCTCCCTTAACTCCCTAAAGTTATGGATTACATATATATAACTGTATCTTACAGTCCATTTGTAGCATTCTTCTTGGCCATGGTGTGTTAACCAGTCATTGAACAGCAAGATCTGACTTGCTGTTATTTTATTGTGGGATTTTGCAACATTGAGTGATGCTGTTTGTATAGTGCTTAGCAGGAGGGGATTGATGTGTATGTATTCACATACGTGTCTCCGCTTTGTCAGTGTTTTCAGGCATCTGTTCCTATGAAAGAGCCATCCGAGCACAATGGCTTTAAACCACACCATTTGATTGACATTCCTAGCTCTGCAGGTTGGCTGGGCTCTACTGAGATTCTGCAGCTCTTGCTTAGGGTCCCTGATGCAGGTTCATTCCTCTGGTGGCCTGACTGGGGTGGCTTGGCCTCTGTTCTCTGTGTGGGCCTCTTGAGAGGTTCTCTCCAGTGAGCTGATTGGGCTTCTTACCTGGGAGCTTGGGACCCTGCAGAGTTAAGAGGGTAGATGTGGGTGCTGCTGGTTTTCTGAACGACTAGGCCTGGTAGTGGACTAGCACCATTTTCTGCCAAATTCAGTCAACTAATACAGCCTTGGGTGCTCAGAGTCAGTGAAGAGGCCACGTGGACCACATAAAGGCAGAACAGCAAGAGGCCCCATAGTCAGATGGGGTGTCAGTGTTCTGGTGTCAGCTTTTAGTGGTGTGAGTTTCTTTATCTATTTTTTCATAGACACGTACCTTTGAAAATAGCATCAATACCTACAGAACTATCTCAGTATGAATCTTCTTTGGAGAGAGATACTTGATGAATTTTTTCTTTTCTTTAGTTTATAGTCAAACTTTTCTACTTTTTCTTAAGTAAATTTCAGTCTTTTTTCCTAAACTTTTTATAATCTGCATTTTGAAGTGCATTAAGGCATTTTTTTCCATTTCACTACATATGATTATCCCTAATATGTGCCTGTCTTTCCTTTGTGTTCTTAGCCCTATAACTAGAAGAAGTATCTGTATTGGTACTATATTAATCCTTTAGGGTGTAGAGGAGGGAGGTGCTAATTTCACATGGTCTATTGCTTTTCACAATTAATGGTATTTTAGGATGAGTTGAATTTATTCTATTTTGTAACATTACAAAAACAATGTTTTCATATAGAACAAAATGTAGTAACAAAGAAGGCAGTCATCTGCAAGTCAAAGACAGAGGCCTCAGGAAAAACAAACCTGCTAATAAGTTTGATCTTGGATTTCTAGCCACCAGAATTGTAAGAAAATAAATTTCTTTTGTTTCAGCCACCCAGTCTGTAATATTGTGTTTTGGCAGCCCCTGCAAACTAATAGAGGGCATTTTTAAAAAATGTAGTTCCCTAATTGACAGACACTTGAACAATTTCCATCCTTTTGCCATTACAGACAAAACTATATGTGTACCCTTGTAGGTACATCATTTTACACATGCATAGCTTGGTGTGTAGGATAATTGTACTTTGGATGGCTCATGCTGAAATATATAGGAATTATAATTTGTACTACACCAGGAGTTATGAGAGTCACTCCCCCTAACCTTCTTTGCCAATAGTATGTTATTTCCAGTTAGAGATGTTACAGAAAAGATGCCAGGAATGTTGATGTACAAGTCTGTTATGGGTGTGTATTTCCTTTTCTTTGGGCAAATATCTAGGAGTAAAATGGCTGAGTCTTAATGTAGGTGTGATTTTAACTTTTGTAGACACTTCCAAACTCCTCCAAGGTTGTTGTGCACTTTGCATTCACACCAGCAGTGTATGAGTTCCAGTTCTTCTGCATCCACTCCAATACTTGGTATGATTAGCCTTTTAAATTTTACCCATTCTAATGGGTGTGTACTGCTATGTCACTGAGATTTTAATTTCTATTTTCCTAATGACTTAAAAGAGATGGGAATACCAGGCCACCTGATCTGCCTCCTGAGAAATGTGTAGGCAGGTCAGGAAGCAACAGTTAGAACTGAACATGGAACAGCAGACTGGTTCCAAATCAGAAAAGGAGTACGTGAAGGCTGTATGTTGTCACCCTGCTTATTTATCTTATATGCAGAGTACATCATGAGAAATGCTGGGCTGGATGAAACACAAGCTAAAATCAAGATTGCTGGGATGAAATATTGAAATATAGAAATATTTATGTTTCTATAAATAACCTCAGATATGCAGACAACACCAGCCTCAAGGCAGAAAGTGAAGAAGAACTAAAGAGCCTCTTGATGAAAGTGAAAGAGGAGAATGAAAAAGTTGGCTTAAAATTAAACATTCAGAAAACTAAGATCATGGCATCTGGTCCCATCACTTCATGACAAATAGGCAAGGAAGCAATGGAAACAGTGAAAGTGATTTTTTGGGCTCCAAAATCACTGCAGATGGTGACTGCAGCCATGAAATTAAAAGATGCCTGCTCCTTGGAAGAAAAGTTATGACCAACCTAGACAGCATATTGAGAAACAGAGACATTATTTTGCCAAGAAAGGTCCATCTAGTTAAAGCTATGGTTTTTCCAGTAGTCATGTATGGATGTGAGAGTTGGAGATAAAGAGAGCTTAGTGCCAAAGAACTGATGCTTTTGAACTGTGGTGTTGGGGAAGACTCTTGAGAGTCCCTTGGACTGCAAGGAGATCCAACCAGTCCATCCTAAAGGAGATCAGTCCTGAATATTCATTGGAAGGACTGATGTTGAAGCTGAAACTTCATTACTTTGGCGAAGAAAGGACTCATTTGAAAAGACTCTGATGCTGGGAAAGATTGAAGGTGGCAGGAGAAGGGGATGACAGAGAACAAGATGGTTGGCTGTGAGAAGGAATGGCTGCTGGCTTGTGAGAGTGTGGATGTCAGGCTGTGAGTACAGACTGTCAGCAAGTTACAGGTCTGAATATGTCTCTCCATCAGGCTGTCTCTGCCTCACTGCTTTCTTTCTTTCTTTTTTTTTTTGGCCCAGCAGTACTTTATTTATTTATTTATTTTTCCATTTATTTTTTTATTAGTTGGAGGCTAATTACTTTACATTATTGTAGTGGTTTTTGTCATACACTGACATGAATCAGCCATGGATTTACACGTATTTCCCATCCCGATCCCCCCTCTCACCTCCCTCTCTACCCAATCCCTCCGGGTCTTCCCAGTGCACCAGGCCAGAGCACTTGTCTCATGCATCCAACCTGGGCTGGTGATCTGTTTCACCCTCGATAATATACATGTTTCAATACTGTTCTCTCGAAACATCCCACCCTTGCCTTCTCCTACAGAGTCCAAAAGTCTGTTCTGTACATCTATGTCTCTTTTTCTGTTTTGCATATAGGGTTATCATTACCATCTTTCTAAATTCTATATATATGTGTTAGTATACTGTATTGGTGTTTATCTTTCTGGCTTACTTCACTCTGTATAATGGGCTCCAGTTTCATCCATCTCATTAGAACTGATTCAAATG